TTAGGAGCTCCTGTTGTCTGACAGCACCCATGCAGAATGGCTCACAACAGGCCTGTAACTATAGCTCCCGAGGATCTGATGCCACGTTCTTCTGGTCCCCATAGGCATCTGCACACTCACATGCATACATGAATAGAAATTAAAAATTAATTATAAAGTAGCTCTGACTGTGGTATAGGAGGAAGCATGTCCTGTGGCTGAAGCTGGTGTGTCATTGCTGGAGCAAACCTTGTTGCTGCAGGGACAGCAGTGGCACCTGTATGTGTGCTGGCCAGTCTTTTGGCTTTTTTAGGCTGGTCTCATGGAGTCAGGGGCTCTGCACCCCCTTCCACTTCTGTAGCACTGGGACTAAGGGCTCCTCTACCACACTGGCTGCAACTTTCTATTTAAATTAACAGTCCCTCCTTTGGGGGCTGCTAGCTCCTCTCTGGGGGGGGGGGGGCAATATGGCTGTGTCCTGAAGCAGAAACATTCTCTATTATTGTGTCTGGGAGGAAGGCTGGCTGAACCTTCACCAGATGGAGAGGAGAGGACAGCACAACAAAGAATTATCTGTCTCGAATGTCAGCAGGCAAGATCTGAAATTCTGCTTTGGAGGAAAACCATTCAACAGTCTCATAAACACCTTAGCAGTGTGCAAAATTAGTTCCTTTAGTATTAATTTAAACAATACTTGGAATCTGAAAACTCTCTTTTGTGAATAGTAGGCATATTTATGTATGAATAGCTTCCTGTTCTCTCTCTCTCTTTCTTTTCAAAAGAAGGTTTCTCTGTGGAGCCTTGTCCTGGAACTTGCTGTGTAGAGCAGGCTGGCCTCAAACTCTGAGATCCACTGGCTTCTGCTTCTCAAGTCCTAGAATTAAAGGTATGCACCACCAGAACCCAGCTACTTACAATTTGTACAGCCCACTGTTTGTTCTAGCTTGTGTGTGTGTGATGTGTGTGTGTGTGGTGTTTCTGCACATGTGTTCACCAGTGCCAAAGAAGGACCATCCAGTGTCTGTTTCTATCATGCTTTGCCTTATTCCCTTCAGACAGACTCTCACTGAGCTTGGAGCTAAGCTGGCAGCCAGCAAGTCTCAGTGAGCCTTCTGTCTCCACCACCCTCAGCCTGGCTTTTACTTAGGTGGGGAGGATTTGAATGCCACAGTACTCACGCCTACCTAGCAAGCATCTTATTCTGTAGACACGTTTGTAAACAATTTTATTTTCTTGTAACTTGAGAATCATTGCAGGTAAGAGGATGTGCACAGTGAGTCTGAGTCATTGCTAGTGTACAAACTGGAACCAAATTAAAAGTGTACTTTTGGACATTCTTGTTGGCGGCATTGTTACAGTAAGATATGAAACAGGGATAAAAGTAGATTAAAATGCCATTTAAAAGATTTGTCATCAGATATGGTGGCCCTATGTCTCTGATCTCTGAATTTAGGAGGTAGAGGCAGAAAGATAGAGTTCCAGGCCAGCTTCAATTACATACTGAGTTTGAGGCCAGCTGGGCTGCTAGAAAACCTATCTCAAAAACAAACAAATGAAAAACCAAGGCAAGATCCCCTCTCCTCTCTTACCCTGGTCTTGGCCCTTGCCAGCCTCAAATGTTCTGTGATCCTCCTGCCTCTGCCTCCTACCAAGTCTAGATTGAAAGAGTTGTCCTCAGCTGTAAAACGTATAGCACACATTTTGCATGTGGTGGCACCGTAAAGACTCGTAAGTGTAGGAGCTTAGCACACAGACAGTGCTGTTGGCAGATTCAGAACAAAAAGGTAGAGAGAAAAAGATCTAAATTTAATGTTTTTGTGTGTTCTCAGAAAAATTTCAGGTTTATAAAAACTTCAGATTGTAATTTGTAGTTTTGTTACACCTGAGAAAGTTTGCAGGGCAAAACAGAACAAGATCTCCCGAGGGCTGTTTTGATTTAGGATAACTGTGCTTGCAAACAATGATTTGTGATGTTTAAAGTTTCACTCTGTACACCAGCCTGGCCACACAGAGATAAGCTTGCCTCTGCCTCAAAAGTGCTGGAATTAAAGGCATGTGCCACCACTGCCCAAGGTTTTTGTTTCTTTGAGATAGGGTCTCACTATGTAGCCCTGATTGTCCTGGAACTCCTAGGGATTTGCCTACCTTTCCTCTTTCAGTTCTGGGATTACAGGCACATCCCACCATTTCCCTTTTATTTTATTTTTGGCTTCAAAGTTAGTATCGGAGGATGGCTTTGAACTCTTGACTCTCCTGAAGCCACTTCAGAATGCTGAGATTGTAGGTTTAAACCACCACACCTGATTTTAGGTAGCGCTGTTGATTAAACCCAGAACTTCATGCATGCTATGTAAGCACTTTACCAACTAAGTAGCAGGGCCAACCCACCCTGTGACCCTCCATGCTGTGCTTTGTGTGAGACAGACTTTAACAGTTGGTACCTCTTTCTTAGATGAAAGATACCACTGCTCACTGCAATTCTTATTTATCCACCTCCTAAGAAAGAAGCAGCCTTCGATATATGTTTTTGTTTGTTTGTTTTTGTTTTTGAGATAGGATCTCTCCCTACACAGCCCTGTTTGTCCTGGAATTTACTACATAGATAGTGCTGGCCTTGAACTTAAAAGATTCTCCTACCACTGCCTCCTTAGTGCTGGGATGAAAGGCGTGTGCCACCAAGTCCAACCTGTTTTATGTTTTTCAAGACAGGTTCTTGCTACTTACTTAGTCTAGACCTAACTCCAACATGCCCCACTACACTTATTTTCTTTAAATTATGTTATTATTATTATTATTATTATGATTATTATTATGATTATTATAGTGTATATGTATGATGTGTATGTGTGTATACACATGCTGAACTCAGGGGACAACATATGGAATTGGTTCTTTCCTTCCACCTTTAAGTAGGTCCTGGGGTAGAACTCACAAGAACTCACTTTTATCTGGTGAGCCTTGTGGGAAAAGAATAATCTTGGTGTTTCACAAAGGAACAAAGTGAAAGTGATGTTGCAAGGCAATTTCTTTTTGCAAAAAGGGTGCTTCAGAATCCAAACTGTGCTAGTGAGCCAAGTGAGCCCAGATGGCCTTTGTCTTTTATCCCTGTAATAGGTACTGACTGCATCTCATCCCACTGGGGTCTTGACTTCACAATTTGACTCTATTAGCTAATCAGCAATAAGGAGGAAGAGGGAGGCTCAGGATATTTGGGCACCCTTATCAGCTAACTACCTTGGATAGAAAAAACAGAGTCTCTCACAGTCCCTTATTTTATTTTTAAAGGTGTTCAGGTAGCCAAGTGTAGTGGCTTACACCTGTAATCTCAGAACTCAGGGAGTTGAGGCAGAGGGAACTCTGTCTCCATTTGATTACCCTGGGTGAGAAGACAGCAAGGAAAGTCACTTTAAAAGTCACTTGACCGATGCAGAACAGACACCCAGAGGGTTCAGAGATGCCTCCGGCTGCTTGGCTGCTCTGGAAAGTCCATGCTCACGTGGAGTTTTTTTTCTTGGGCATCAGTTTGCCTCTTCTAGGGCTTCCTCCAGGCAGAGAGGGTCCCTGCTTTAGTAAAGGATCCGTTGGAATTGGAGTTACAGATAACTGTGAACTGCCTGACTTGGGTGCTGAGAATCAAACTTGGATCGATTGAAACAACAGGAAGCACTCTTAACTGCTAAGCTATCCCACCCCATCCCTCCTTTTTTAATGACAAGATCTCATTGTGAAGTCCAAGTGTCCTATTGCCTCCATCTCCAAAGTGATTATAGTCACACACACACACTGAAGTTATAATATCAATGTAAGTGTACAACCATGCATCTGTCTGGAGAGAAAGCTAGATCTTTCCAGACCCTCAGCAGACTCTGCCTCTTCCCACTCCAGTCACCCTGATTGTGACTCTGTTACCTAAGATCATCCTTGTCTGTTCCTAAACTTCCCTGTATACAATGGAATCATCTCCGGGCTGGGGATGGACCTCAGTTGGTAGAGTGCTTGCCTATCTTGTGCATGAAGCCCTTGGGTTTCATCCCCAGCACCTCAAGGTCATGTTGGCTTACTTTCATAATCTTAGCACTCAGCAGGTGGAGGAGGGGGCATTAGGAGTTCAAGGTCATCTATTAGTTCGAGACCAGCCTAGGATACACAGACCCTGCCTCTCTGTGTCACACACGAAGCAATCACTTGGTCTGAATATACCGTTTGTGACTGCAGCCCTGTTGTCATGTGTAACAGTATTTTGTTTGTTTGTTTATTGGTTTTTCGAGACAGGGTATCTTTGTGAAACAGTCCTGGCTGTCCTGGAACTCACTCTGTAGACCAGGCTGGCCTTGAACTCAGAGGTCCACCTGCCTCTGCCTCCTGAGTGCCGGGATTACAGTATTTTATTTTTTAAGATTTGTTTTATTTCATGAGTATGAGTTTTTGCCTAAATGTATGTGCACCAGGTATATGCAGCCTGAAGAGGGGATCAGGTCCCCTGAATATGGAGTTAGAATTGTGAACCTCCATGTGGGTGCTAAGAACCAAACCTGGGTGCTCTTCAGGAACACCATGTTTTTGACTGCTGGGCTGTCAATACAATCCCACATGTAGCAGTAGTTTATAACAACATGTGCTTTTAAGTTAAAAAACAAAGTTAAATTTGCTAGCCACTTTCAAAATGAAACTAAATGGATATGGAAGGTTTAGAGAACTGATTTCATTTTTTTTTTTAAACTTAATTTTAATTTAGTTGTTTGGCCTTTTGAGGTGAAGCTCACTTGGGATTCACAGTCCTTCTGGCCCAGCCCAGTGGGTCCTGGGATGACAGATCTGAGTCATCTCCACCCACTAGGCTCCTAGACTGGAATTTGATTTGGTTTTTGAAAGAATAGATGGGAATTTGACATTCAGATGTACTGAGAAGGCCTTTTGAGGCAGGAATGTGGACACAAAGTCAAGGTGTGCTTGGCCACTCTGATATGGGTAGGAATGGAATGCTGGGAGACAGCTGACTGGGCTGGTGGATGAGAGAGGTGATGTCACAGTTGTTGGAATGCCAGCTACAGACTTCCTTCTGTTTGGTGTCATGGTTTTTGTCCTTGGTGTTGGCAGTGGTGAGTGCTGAAATGGTGACTATCATGTGAAATCCTACTGCTCCCACCCCTGGTTCTGGAAAATGACTAGAATTGTTACCCATTGTGTTTCAAAAGCTGTGTGGACTGGAGGGTTTGGGGAGGGTGGCAGCCTTCCTGACAGGATGACAGAAGCCAGCACACAAAGCTGGAAGGGCAACAGTACCTCTGTGATGTTGGCCTACGGGGGTGGAGATTCTGGAAAGAGAACGTTCATTCTTACATTCTCTTCAGCTGATGTCAAGTTCTTAGATGCCACCTTCTCAGGAATGGTACCAAGAAGTGGGATTCTCTACAGCTCCTTACAGCTTTTCCATAACTGAAAATTAAGATTCAGTTAAAATGAGCTTTCTGAAAGGACTCATATGACTAGCCATCTCTTTGTAGCTGACACTGTTCACCAAGCATGGTTTTCAGTGCTGGGATAACTTAGTGTGTGCATAATTCTGAATTTTACTGCTTTTGCTGCAATTCATTTAATTCTGCAGACTTTTTTTTTTTTTGAGACAGATTCTCATTTAACTGGCATCTAACTCTTTAATTACATATTTTCAATTTATTTTGTGTGCATACATGTGTATGCACGCCACAGCTTGCATATGGAGGTCAGAGAACAACCTGCTAGAGCGGTTCTTTCCCTGTACCACATGGGTCCCATTTATTAAATACGGGCCCATCAACAGGCACCTTTGTCCACTGAGCCATCCATATATGTGGTCCTGAATCCCTAATGTTTTGAGTTGTTTTCATCTCTGACATCAGATTATACCTGGGTTACCTTTGTCTTTACACATGAACAGGGATACCAGTAAACACTCCCCCCCTTCCCCTTTTCCTGTTTTTTTTTTTTGTGCTGAGAATTGAATGCTGGAGGGTCTTGTGTATGCGAGGCAAGTGCTCTGCCACTGAGCTATATCTCAGTCCTTTGCTGTGTGTATTTCTGTATCTTGTTCTTAAACATCCTTCTGATATGTCCTCAAATTTCATTATCTCATCCTCTCCCCTGCCTGTCTAAAATAGCAGCATGCCATCCATCCTTCTATAATATTAATCATCCTTTTCAATTCTTGGGTATATTTATCAATAGTTGGAAATCATTGTGTATGTATTCTATATGACAGTTATATATAATATGTGACATATAATAATATATAAATTATAATATTATAAAATATATATGTGCTGAGGATGGAACTAGGACATCTTGAAGGGTAGATAATTGCTCTCCTGAACTACACCATTAGAAATAAAAAGTTTAAAAGCCTTTTCTTGTCCATGTTCTAAGCCCCATGAAGCAGGGGTTTTGATTTTTTTCATATAGCAGGAAGGTTATGTCTCATATATACTAGGAACTCAAAAATAGCTATTGAGTAAAAAATTATATTCAGAGGCTTTGTGAGATTATAGCAAAGAAAACAACACTTATTTTTTGTTTGTTTATTCTTGTGTCTGGGAACTCACTCTATAGACCAGGCTGGCTTTGAACTCATAGAGATCTGCCTGCCTCTGCCTCCTGAGTGCGGGAATTGAAGTTGTGCACCACCATACCTGGCAAGAAAACACTTTTAAAGGTGGGACAAGTAGCCAAATGTAGTGGCTTACACCTATAATCTTGACAGCCCAGCACTGAGGCAGGGGATTGCCTAAAGTTTGAGGCTAATCTGGGCTTCATAGAGAGTTCTGGGCTATTCTGGATTGCAGTGTGAGACTCGATCTTGAAATAAAAGAAATGAGAAACTGAGGCTCTAAGAGGCTTCGTAGCTATGAGTCCAAAGTAGAGGGGTTGGCAGCTGGGGAGAGGCATTGCCAAGTGTGGTTCTCTTCATTCATGGCTGCCTTTTCTTTTTCTGTTGAGATAGGCTTTCATTATCTAGTCCAGGCTAGCCCATGGTTCTTCACTGCTGAGATTACAGACTAGTACCACCTGTCCAGCTTTTTGTTGTTGGTGGTATTGAGAACAGTGTCTTCTCTGCGGCTTCTGTTGTCTTCAAACTCCTGCTCTGTCATTTGGCCTCAGGGTAGATTTAGTAACAAACAGTGCATTTCTCATTGCCTGGATTTCTACTACAGGACCAAGCAAAGAGAAGTCAGAACTACATTTTAATTCTTCTCTGAACAAATACTGTGAGTTTCTACCAGGTGAGGTAGCACAGTTCTAGAATCCCATCTAGGCTGAGGCAGAAGGATCTTAAATTTGAGGTAAGCCTAGGCTACAATGGAAGAGTTTGTGTCAAAAAACCAAAACCAACAGTAACACAAAGGTGAATTTCTGCAAGTATTGTGTCCTTGTCTGTATATTAGAATTATATTTTCATAAAGACACTGTAACTGTTCTGAAAAGCATCGGGGCACACACCTTTTTTTTCATTAAGAAATTTTTTTTATTCATTTTATATACCAATCAAAGATCCCCCTCTTCCCTCCTCCCATTCCTCCAGCCTCCCCCTCCCAACTCACCCCCATTCCCTCCTACAAGAAGGTAAGGCCTCCCATGGGGAGGTACATTTAGTAGAGGCAGGTCCAAGCCCCTCCCCCTGCCTCAAGGCTGTATAAGGTGTCCCATCATAGGTAGTGGGCTCCAAAAGCCTGTTCATGTGCAGTGATGGATTCTGATCTTAATACCAGGTCAAGCAGATCAAGCTACACAACTGTCTCAAAATGCAGAGGGCCTAGTCCAGTCCCGAGAAGGCTCCAAGGCTGTTTATCTAAATTTCATGAGTTCCCATTAGTTTGGTTTGGTTGTCTCTGTAGGTTTCCCCATCATGATCTTGTTGCCCTTGCTCATAGAATCAGTCTCCTCCTCTCTTCAACTGGATTCTTGGAGCTCAGCCTGGTGTTTGGCTGTGGATCTCTGCATCTGCTTCCATCAGTTACTGGAGAAAGGCTCTGTGATGACAGTTAGGGTATTCACCAGTCTGATTACTGGGGTAGCCAGTTCAGGCACCCTCTCCACTATTGCTAGTAGTCTAAGCTGGGGTCATCCTTGGGATTCCTGGGAACTTCCCTAGCACCTGGTTTCTTCCTATCCCCATGATGTCTCCCTCTATCATGGTATCTCTCCCACTCCATCCCTGTTACAGCTCGACCATCCCGTTCCCTTATGTTCTCATCCCCCATCCCTTACTCCATTGCCCACCCCTCATCCCCAGTTTACTTATGGAGATCTCATCTATTTCCCCTTCCCAGGAAGATCCATGTGCCCCTCTTTGGGTCCTCCTTGATGACTAGCTTCTCTGGAGCTGTGGGTTGTAGTCTAGTTATCCTTTGCTTTACATCTAGTATCCACGTATGAGGGAGTATATATCATGTTTGTCCTTCTGAGTCTGGGTTACCTCACTCAGAATGATATTTTCCACCCATTGGTGGGACATACCTTTAATCCCAGCACTCAGAGCCAGGCTAGCTTGGTCTACATCCAGGGAAGCCAGAACTACAAAGAGAAACCCTGTCACAAAAACCAACCAACCAACCAACCAACCAAAACAAACCTATACAGTACAATAAAGGTCTTTCCAGAAAGTTTAAAAACTATTATATTAATAAAATAGAAACATCAGTTGTGTATAAAGCTATGTGGCATAGCTCCTGTTAAAACTTTTTTTGTACATTGCTTTTGTAAGTCAAGTTGGCAATAGGTTGTCTTTGTTTCCTGTTCCTTTGTTGAGCTGCCAGCTATTCCTCCCTGACTTTCTTCACTTTTTGAGGCAAGGTCACATTTGAACCCAGTCAGGGCCCAAATGTACTATGTTGCCAAGATTGCCTTTGAGTTCTGATCCCCTTACCTCCACCTCTGTGAGTTCTGGTATTACAGACATGTGCCACCATGTCCAGCTTTATTATTTTTAAATCATGAGTATATTGATTTTGGAAAAAAGTGAACCATGCCCTTGGAATGAACATCACCTAATCTCTGAAAGAGGCATAGACTCATCTCTTTGTTTGCCTCAGGGTGCTAAATTCCACGTAGACCATGGGTCCCAATCTTCGTTTGTTACATGCCTTGCTGCAGCCATCTGGGTCCTTTGTTCCTGCTGTGCAGAAGATTCCAGGACAGGGCCCAGACCAAGGAATGTCAGCCACAGTCTCAGTGATGGATGGTGGCCACACTAATTTGCATGTGCTCTAACAAGCTAGTGTTGAAATGGGTTGGCTGGATGCCAAGGAAGCCAAGGTCAGCACATTTTGAAATAACAAGTGAGTCAAGCACATCCCTACAGGACCAACTACCTGACTCTTCTTGTATCTGAACAGTGCCTTGGCCCAGCATTGCTATGTGTGTAAAAGGCCGAAACAACAGGAGCCTCTTGCTAGAGAGACAATAATGGAGGAAGAGAAAAATTAAAGTGAAAAATCAGATTTAAAGTCCCCACAGAGAGAACCATTTTGAGTTGGAAGTGTAGAAGAGAGTGATATGAACTGACTGAAAGCAAGCAAAGAAACAAAGCGAAGAGACCCAAACCTCAGGGTGGTTAGAACATGAACCTGGGTTAAAATTCTATCATGCCTCTTTGCATCTGTGTGGCCCAGGGAGGCTTCTTTCCTTTCCCAGATTTGGGCTCCATTGTGGTGGATTATCGATAGCGATTCCAGCTTTTCCATTCACTCAGCATTGTTACTCTGGGTGCCAGGCATTGATGTAGATACTGTGGGGGTGTAGTGACAGATGGGTCCTTATTCTCATAGAATTTGCTTTCTGGTAGCAGAAACAGATGGTAAGAAAGAAAATAACAGAATGTGGTAAGTGCCACACAGAAGGAAGACAGAGAAGGTAATGATGGTGCCTGGGGAATTCCCTTCTGTCATACCCCCAGGAACTGTGCAGAGACTCGTTTTAAGTGAGGAGTGTGCTGGGGTTTGAAACTGGGGTCTCACACATTTGAAGCCAGCTATATTCCAAGCCTGAGTCAGGATGCTACTCATACTGGTCTGTAACTCACTATGTAGGGTAGGCTGGCCTTGAAGTTGTGGCAATCCTCCTGCCT